GCTGCCAATATGCCAATCTATTCAGATCAATTATACACACAAGCAAACGAAATCTGACTAAGGGACCAAAGTGCCTCAAGCAGCTTTAAGTGGTGTATGTAAATTTTATGTTTAGAAATCTAGAAGATGAAATTATAGCTAAAGTTAGGTGAATGTTTTTGAATGTTAACATATCAAGTCTCTCTATCCTACAAAAGATTAGGGGAAATTATTGCTTAAAATCAGGGACCGAACATAACAGTTATTGATGAAAGCTACCATGAAAAAATTCATTATGTAGGAAATGTTCTACAACTGATACGTGATACGTACTAATCGATTTCTTTTTTCACCGATACTAAAATTTTTAAATAAATTTTTAATTGCCATCTTTATGCAAAATTAAAAACAGTAACAATTATATTTGATTTGCATATATTTTAAATCCAAATAACAATTATTTTTAATTTTCATATTATATGTCTTAGATAACAGTTAATGGACGCTTTTATTTATAAAAGTCTAAAAATCAGTCAGTGACTTTTACTTTTAAAAGTCATCGATATAAATCAGTCACCGACTTTTAATTTTAAATCATTCGTATAAAAGTCATTAGCATTTTTTACAGTTAAAAAGGGCGCTGGGAAACAAAAGTTTACTACAGCTTATACAAATGACTTTTATAAGTATGATTTAAAAATAAAGGTCAGTGACTGACTTACATATATAAATAAAAGTATAACTGACTTATATAAATAAAGATAACTGTTATTCGCAGATTATTTAGATAAAAATAAAAAATAATTGTTATTTTGGATTTATAAAATAAAAGTCAGATATAACGGTTATTTAAGGAGTCAATTAATAAAAGTAAAAAAAAAATAATTGTTAAAGAGCGATTTTTTTTAAATAAAAGTTGTAACTGTCACGGTCCCTGCTTAAAATCGCTTTTTTCGGACCTTTCGCTTAAGCATATTTTTCTCTGTACGCGGTTTTGCATTAGCTTGATACGCGGTTTTGTACCTTAGACGACCATATGCTTGTTCTTTTTTTATTATTTCTTTCATCTCTGACATTGCTCATTGGTTTCTGTGGTTTTCCGTAGTACTCGTACTTAGCCATCGTTGTTGTTTTCATACATGTATGCATTTATTGTGTGTTTATGAGTATATTTATTTACTTTACATTCCATGTTATCACTTACATACATAACTACACGCTTGGATTTATCATTCTGAGATTATCACATTACATTACAGTTAATTTGAAATTCATTTGCGAGTTGTGTGTCAACGGATATTGGCTATTGTTGTGAGTTGGTTGTCACCAATAAATTGTATGACGACATTGTGCATATGTTAGTGTGTGTCTTCGAGTATTTTTTGCCGTCATCGATTCGCCTACAGTTAGCGAGTGGCGAAACGAGCGAGCTCAATAAGGTAAAACCAAACTCGCTATCGTCCATCATTAGTTGCGTTCCCCAACTTTTCTGGGTTAAAACCTGTAAAACTGTCACAAAGCAAACAAAGTTCGGGATCGCTTTCTGGTAAATTCCTGTAAATTCTTGGGAGTTAGGGAACGCAGCTATTGCTAGCTAACTTTGTTGTTGCTTTCTCATACAGAATTTTTCGTTAAGCGACCGGAACTCAAACATAGCAAGCAGCGAAGTAGCGAATCGATGACGGCTTTTGTATGTCAGTGGTTGGGGGGCATTTGTCGTTAATAGGTTTGTTCCACACTCTTTCCCCGGGCTGTTTCGGTAATTAGAGCGTAAAAATAAGTTGCTCTCTCACCGGCGTCAAAAATGTGTCAACCCGTGCCAAAAGCGCCCAGAGCGTGAAGAACGCAAAAAACCACTTTTCGTGCTCGGATTCAACAAATCAATCAATCAAAATTTCTAGCTTTTTAGTTCTCTTTTTACTTTTGCTTTACTTTACTTTACTTTTTAACTTTTTAATTTTTAGTTCTCTATTGGTTAATATTTTGCAATTGCTTTTTTTATTAGTATATCTTTCTCTGCTCATTAATGCTTTTTTTTTTTAGCTTCGCCCATTGTGACAGCAACAATTGCAATGGTGGCTGAATCAATGATTTTGTTGCAGTCATTGGTTCATTGCCCCAGTATTCCGTTTTCAGGTTAAGAACCCTTATTACATTTATTTGGTACTACTACCGTGTTATTTGTGCTTACATGCTTACTTGTTAAATATGGAACTTGATTTTTTTTTGTGGTAATTTATGTCTGAACCCGATACTCGTGTGTTTTTATGTAGTTTTCTTATACCGAAAAAATATTGATTGCACAAAGCACAGCAAAATTATTGTTGCCACCCGCTTCATCATTGAATCGGAGGAACAAGCAACTTAACCAGTATTTTCTGTTTACGATACTTTTACGTTCGTCGCTTCTTACAAAATGCATTCTTGCATAATTTTTGTCCAATTTGCTTGTTTACTTGCAATTACATATTTTTCTGCAACAAAACTTACCTACTTTTGCATATTTCCGTTACAAGCCACTGTGCCATTATTCTATCTCCCTTCTTCGTCACTGTGTTAATTTGGCGCTTAGCTTTTGTTGTTGCTGCATCAATGTTTTGCCATAATTTCTTTTCGAAAGTTTGCTCAGTGTTCACTGCTTGAAAACTTTACGTCGCTTGCGGTCATTGCACGTTACTCCAAACAAAAAAAAAAAAAATTGCCAACAGTGGTTATAAAATCCATCAATAATGAAACATGCGACTTGAACCATTTATTTGGTTGACACAAAATTGCTGAGTGCCGATGTTTTATCTGTCCGTTGACTTCAAGCTGGCACGCGCGTGCATTATTACAAAGCGATCCGCGCACGTGCCGTCTGGCGCTGTTGGTGCAGCGGATTTACGAACGTAAACTTTTACAGGAAATATTTAGGCTCAGTCCACAGGAATTCTGTCAAGTTTTGAACTTTTCAAAAAATTTTAATAGGCGCTTGACGCTATGAAAGTTCTTCATAATTGACATTTGAGCTGCATTCAAGACCCTGGTCATTGCATGAAAGAAATACTGACTCACTTTATTTGTGACATTTTCGAAAAATTTTGTTCAAAAATGGGTAGAAGTCAACTCTTTACCGAAATGAATAATGTTTGGTTTAAATACTTGGAACATTTTGGGAAAGATTTTCTTAGCTCGAATTTAAAAAGAAATAATTTTATTTTAATCAGCATATGATCAAAGTCGGAAAATTAAAAAAAAAGAACTCATCAAACCAAAAGTAAAATTTTTCTTGGCGAAAAATTTCAGTTTTAAAGATGGCAAAAACATTTTTCATGTCGTTGAATTCGATTTTGATGGTAGAGTCGCGAAATTCAAAAATGGCTGCTATTCAGAATTCTTATCTTACGAATTTTTGTGAATAAAAAGCTCTATATTGCATCGGCCGTTTTGAAGTTAACGATCATAACATCGAAATCGATTCCAACGAAAAAAATTGTTTTATCAATTCATGCTTAGACAATCTTTTCCGAAATCCGTTCCAAATATAAAAAAATCAAAATTAATTTTTGTAGAAAATCTACTTTTCTAGCCATTTTTGAACACAATTAGTCGCGAACAGACCACTGTCCAACGGCACAGACCCGATATTCTTCAGTCCTGTGGGAGGCCAGAAAAAAATCTAATGTGCATATCCATACACACATACATACATATAGGAGTTGTTTAGTACGCTTTATATTTAATTTTTTTGGTGTTTTTGATTTTTTACCTATTTTTATGATTGATGCTCTTAGCAAATAGCTAGCAAAATAAAATTCTACATGAAGTACATATGTATGTACATATCTATGACAAAAAGCTGCGCAATAATTAGCCTCATTGTGGCGTTATTGAAGGCAGCCGCTGCGTGAGGTGCCTATCAATTTACGATTTCGAGGAAATTCTTCCGGAAACCCAGTCGCGTTGCCAAGTTCAGCGCTTTGCATTGGAAATTTTTTATAACCAGATACATATCGTCACCTGAAATGCAAAAAGACGTAACAAATATCATCGTTGAAATGCAAAAAGTCATAACTAACAAAAAATTCAGAATGCACTTTTGGATTTATATAATGCATTTCATCGAATTACAACTCCACACATCATTTTATGAAAAAAAAAATTAAAATAGTAGTCAGTACTTTTTCCATTTCATTTACGATGCTGTTACGTCTTTTTGCATTTCAGATGACGATATATATTTACGTATTTAATTATTTACACTTACGAATATGTCTTTATAGTAATCTTATACAACGCAATATATCTAGATTTCGATAAATAAATTTCAGTCATATTCCGAATTTAAAAATGGGTCATTCCATTTTGACTGGTGGGGCATTTTACTCCAGACTGTGATCAATTGTGGATTATAACTACGTCGTCGGAGCAACGACAACAACAAAAGATATTTTTTAACATAGAACTATAACTAAATAATGTATAAAATTGCTTTAACAAAAATACCAAACGATATCTTAGTTTTATGAATAAGACTGGAGGGACACTGAAAAGAACTCTAATCTACCTTTGTGCACACAAAGATGAAAGCAAAAAAACTAAAATTTCGCAAGAGATGTTTTTGTGTTGTAAAATAGGAACGATGCGCTTTCGTTTTCAATAAAAATTAGACTTATATAATTTTCATAGGAATATTAAAAAATATTTAAATTTTTGACTGGTGGGGCATGTCCTTTGTGACCGGTGTTAAGTAATTATGCATTAAATAATAGTTTCCATAGACAAAAATTACAACTTCTTTTTTATTTTTTGCTATCCTTAATAAATAAAATAAATAAATAAATAAAATAAAATAAAATAAAATAAAATAAAATAAAATAAAATAAAATAAAATAAAATAAAATAAAATAAAATAAAATAAAATAAAATAAAATAAATAAACAAATAAAAAATAAATAGATAATTAGCGCATTTTAAAATTTATGTCGTTTTCTTCTTTAACATGGAAATACCCAAATCAAAGAGGAATGGTATATTTTTTATATATTTTTATTTTATTTGCTTATTGCTGCGTTTACATTTGTGATGCAATACCAGAAATATGTGTAGAAATACATATGTACGAATATATTATATATGTATATAGAGGCAAAAATAAAAAATGTTTGTATAAAACTGATGAGTATTTCATGTTCGAACGATAATTATACAAAGTTAGTGATATCTCTTAAATAACTATTATATAAAGGAAAAAAAATATTAGGAATTTAAAATATTAATCTTTAACACAAAGATTATGTATCAAATGTTTTTAATAATTTTAGTATTTATTTATGTAAATCTAAATATAAAATTAATATTTTATGTAAATGCAATATGGTTTGATATTTTATAATATGTAAAATGAAAATAATTTACACACATATATATGTATGTGTATATTAATTTTTGTGAAAGGCATTAAGTTGGCGTCCCGCATTTGATGGGACATTTTCTAACATTTCGGTGCAGAAAAATGAAATAGTGTCCAGCACTCCTCAGCTTTTGATGTGTTTATTTTTTAATCACTTAATTAAATCCAGTGATCCAGCGTTAAAAGTATGCTTACAAGGCATTCAGTGTTCGCGAGCCCCGTCGAAGAGTTGATCTATTGCGCGCCTCCCCTGCGTGTGAGGTTATACCGAAAATATCTTCGTGATAGCGGTTTTCGTGCTATAAAATAATTAAAAAGGGTAGATGTTTAGAAAATATAGTAAAATAATTGAAACTTAAAATATCGGAAAATACTATTTGTATTGCAGAATCCAAAAGAATCGTTTATGTTTTGTGTTTTACGACGGGTTTCCATTCGAGGAGCGCGGGTAAGTACCCAGAGACACCATGCCTGCATTGAAAAAGATGCAGATAGTCCGGGCATCTTACAACACGACATGAATAAGAGAGCAGAGCCGATCCCACCTGGGATTAGGATTAGACCCAGCAAAGTGAGCAAGCAATTAACGGGGCGACTAGACATTTGCTCAAGCTCGAGCTATACGCCAGGCAAAAAATTACCAGCCAACCCACTAAATATAATCCTCGCCCAGATAAACATTAGTGCTGAGTATCGTGCCTAACGGTTGCAGAAGCCGTTGGTCTACAAAGGTCACGTAATGGTTTTAAGAGATTTTAATAATAAATTAGAGAACCAGAGCGTGCATTGTGGTTACTTGAGAATTACAGAATTTTTAAGTCTAGATTTGGTAGCAATCCAGACGAAGACGATAATATCAGGAGCGTTTACGAACACCGTCTTTGCCGCTGCATATTTCCCGGAAGACAATAAAAGCATGCTGGCGACGGAGCTATAGATGCTGATAAATCGCGTAGGTTGCGATGTAAACAACAGCAGGATTAAGAAGTCACCTGTGTACACAAACCCGGATCTGGTCTAACGATTTAGGCCATTCGCATGTACTATGGAATTTCCTAAGGTAGTTGAGGATGGTGGGGTGCAATTACACCATACACAATAAGGCTATAATGGCGTTATTTCGCTAGCCGATTGGAAATAAAACCATAGTTTCGAGACCGCCTTATTTATATAAAGCCGTTATGGTTTTATTGCGCTTTTGAAAATTTTTGTTTGGAAAACATAAAACCAGTTTTTGCGGAGAAGGGTGGATCCATGTGACCAGATGTTTCTCAACTTTATAAACTTCTATCTAAAGTGGAAAAAGTTACTAGCTTCAGGTTCATAAATGGAAATTGCCTATTGAATCCGTTTCTATATAATATTATTTCTAAGTTTCAAATTTACTACTTTTCGATTTATTGCAATGCAATTATACTTGTAAAATAAAGTAAACCGCCTGTTTTTTATATTGCAGATCAGAAATGAAAGTAAAAATGGCTGCGACAAATATAACTGAATTATATTTGCAGCAAGGAAGCAAGGAAGGAGCTCAGCAAATTTTCCAAAATATGTTGCTAAATTGTAATTTATTTTTAAAAAACTTTGCTGCGCATCAGCCAAGTTCTGTTATTCTTTGACTGAATTTAGTTTCGTTCGTCTTATCGGCAACACCAGTACTTCAGTAACTCTGCTATGCAAAGTAAATGCCTTAAGTGAGTAAGTAAACTAAATAAACTACAGTCGAAGAAGTAAGATTATGGCGTTTTCGTTTCAGCCAGAAAATTTTAGCTGTCTTGCATTGACCTCTTTGAATATGAAAAATACTTAGAGTGCAATGAAAACGTCGAACATTTGTTCGCAACGAAGACACCATTGCACACCAGCGATTGCAGTTAAGGTGTGCGTTTATAAGACAGATTTAAGAAAATTTTATAGTAAGGTAAAATAAAAAAATCTACGAATACAATTTTTGCCTTCAAAAATAACATAAATGCTAATTATAACCTCAGCTTTGGCCCAATGCCGTAGGTGTAAAAATAGTTGTCCTCTTCTTACCAGTATGCGCTCGCAAACATATTCTTACTATATAGGCACGAATGTTGAATGCATGCAGTCTTTCTAAGTGTACTTACTCGTAATGCTAGCAAGAACGCGTCCACTTCCGCTTCAGTTTTTTGTTCCTTTGCAGCAATACACTTCCTGTCAAAGCAACGACAAACCGAGAAATGCAAGAAAGAAAATACAAAACACAAATGAATTGATGTTCGAGATATAAATGGTATGTATGCAGCTATGTAGGTAAGAAATAGTAACTATAAGGTGAAACATGTTTCTGAAATCAGTTTTTGCCACTGTCACAAGAGTAAACTAGAAATAAATAGAACCCATTCGTAAGAAATTATTCAAACTAGTTACACTAATCTTCGCGACTAAATGTGTATGAAAAAGTTTAGTATGGAAAATATGTAACTAAGTCTATATATCGCTATCGACTATTCGATTTTTATCAGTTGTTCTATTAGTATGTTTTCTCACAGTCTTTGCTTTTCACTGCAGGGATTCTTAGATTCACTCTGAATCGAAAAATATGCTTTTCATTCTCTTAGAGTCATAAATAAATGGCTTGGCTATACCTTTTCTACACCTTTTTTTAGCAGCTGAAACACCTTCATTCATATTCATACTTTTTTTTTGCTAATTTTCTCAACCACTCAAAGGTAACAAATTGCCTTCTATTTAATATCAACCTTGTGGCTAAGTGACCATTAATCACCGCCAGAAGGTTAACACCCACAACGACAGTGCTTACCGGCAATGAATGTCAAATTCACCACATTCATTGCGACAATTTGCGTCATCCACTCACCTAATTGTCCCACAGACATCCTCAGCCATTGTGACATCACCGCAAACGTAAATGTGTGCCCGCTCTTCGACAATCAGTTGGTAGAGAGAATCAAATTCATTTTCAATCTGGTGCTGAACGTAAGTCTGAAAAATGGAAGAGAAAATGCGAAAAAAAATTAATAGTTAGTGCAAACAGATTTAAACAAGAGTTCTGGAAAATGAAACGAAGTCTAATGCTTAAACTAAAGTTAAATATCTTTAAAGCACTCACCTTTGGTATCTCCAGATCACGTGACAGCGCCAAGAATACGCGATCTAAGATCTTTTCGCGCTCCAACAGCGCCTTTTCTTCTGCGTACAAGTTCATTTCGCGCGTACGGCAACCGAAGAAGAGCCACACCTTTGAGCGTTGCATCTTCAATTCGCGCCACACCTCCAACTCTTGCCAAAAGGAACGGAATGGCGCTATGCCAGTGCCAGGTCCGATAAGCACCATCGGCTCTGAGGAGTCTTTGGGCAAATGGAAGCCGGGTGCACTGCGTACGAAGAAGTAAAGGCTCCTGCTCCTTCATGTTGGTCAGGTAGTTGGAGCAAACGCCAAAACGCTCGTTACCGCGTTGATTCTTGTACTTGACAACGGCCACAGTCAAATGGATTTCGTTAATAACCTTGCGTGGCGATGAGGAGATGGAGTAGAAACGCGACTGTAAAGGCATGAGGTTGCCGAAGAGCAAACCGGCGGGCGGCTTACATGAACGGAATTGTTCCAATACAGTGAGTAGAGTGGGCAAATACAACTGGCGCCACTCCTCGTAGGCAGCGTTGTCTGTGCCCAGCTTCTGCAGACGCTCTGTGTCATAATTGTCGTCGCAGAAGTCGGCCAGCAAATTTAGCAGCTCCAGCTGTGGAGGCGTAGTTATGTCAAAGAAGTGTGTCAATAGGCCGCGTGGCGTTTCCGCGGGTATTTTGTCATGTGGTTCCCAGCAGTTGAAGGTGCCGTTGGGTGTCTTCTTCTTCCTCATCACCTGCACTTGCAGCACTTCATCGGGGTCCTCGAAACCGGTCAAACGTTTCAAAACACCATTTACAATGTCTGTAGAATTAGCCGGGAATATACCAACATGATCACCGGGCTCATAATCCAAACCAGGCGCATAGATTTCTACTAAAATGGTCGGCTTGTCATCTTCGGCAAGTTTGGTTAGATTGCGCGGTGCAGACTTCATTTTGTAGCGTTGCACCTTCTTGTTGTGATATTTCGAAAGCAGCTGATCGATGGTGCCTTCGCGCTGTGATGGCACCATACGCACTGTGCTGGCGGTTAGCGTGTCGTCGTGGAACGCATCCGACAAGCCTTCTGAGTAGTCTACATCGAACGTTTGGCAAGCAGATTTGAAAACTTCGGGTGCCCATTTGCGGAAAGTTTGCTCTTGGCCACACATTTCATCACCGCAGGTGACCTCGAAAAGGCGCTGCCCGCCGAGCTCGCCAATAATTCGGTCCAAATAGATACCGAAGGCGCAGAAGTTCGGGTAGGTGCTCGAGCCAAGCGCAAAAACGGCGAAGCTGTGAGGGAAGGATAGAAAGGTGTTGAATTCATAATTAATTAGTTTAGGGCTGATGCTGGGTGGAGGGATTAGCACGTTTCTTTTAAGTAGGTAATCATGGATAGGTATATTTTTGTTAAGTTTCAATATATTGGATAGCAAGCGTCTTTTACTTTGGCATGCGAAAATATATTGAGGATGTAAGCCTTATTGAATAGTTTACATTGTCCTCGTACAGCCAGGTGCCTGCTTCTCTTATTTATTAAAGCAAAATGCCTGTCTTGGAGAAAACATGCGTCTAGACAATAAATTTCCATGGCCGCCCACAATAAGAAGGAAAGACGAATACAATCTCGCCTCCCCCTTACATTGTGTCCCCGTTTAAATATTTGCAAGACTACTTACTTTAATTTTCTTAACGGCTCAGTTTTCTTCAATTCATCCAGGTTCAGGCGTTGGAACTTCGGTGATATAATATCCACACTGTGGAAGAGAATGAGTATAAAATTAAGATGAATAATGATGAACGCGGAGTACTTAGCTTACAACATAACCTAATTAAATTTAGGATATAAGTAAATAACTTAATTACTTCTGACTTGCCACAGTATTTAACTTTCGGAATTCTATTTTTGTGTAAATCTATACATCTATCAATCTTATACAGAGTTTATTTGTATGTAGTCCTGCTTGGACAAAATAAGAGATCACATGAACATAAGAAGAGATATGAGCTGGGTGTAGCGGCCTACTTCACTAGCAAGAATGCTATTGAACATGAATAAACATGAAATAGAAAACAAAAGAATAAGCTGGGTTCAAATTACGTTGTTCAAGTTGTAAATTTTGAGCAGAGATTTTGAGATTTTTATTATTTATTATTATTTTTTTTTATGTGCTGAAATGACAAAGGTACGAAGTGATTTATGCCACTTTCAAAATGATAGCAAATTTTTGTTTGTGTCCTTCTTAGTCTCAAATAGATAAACTTTAAATGACAGTCGCTTATTCTTTAATTTTAAAGTATAGACTACCATAACTTACCATCAAATTAAGGAATAAGCGACCTTTACTCTTAACCATTTATCACATTTCAAACTACTTTAAGAAGTTAAGTACAAAAAAAAAATTAAATAAAAATTTGGGTTAGGCCTTCTTCTTCTGCCAGCATGGCCTCATTTGTAGACACATCTATAAAAAATTACCAGCTACTGTTGGTGCCTCTGTGTACCTCCTCGTACCTCATTATTTGATTGTTCCACCAGAGCTTGTATGAACTACATATAGTACACATACATACATACATACATATGTATATAAATACCCAGTAGAAATCGGTTGTATGCATTCATGAAGAAGGCTTGCTATATGAGTGAATTAGTTTGAAAAATTCATACGTAGTCATGAATTTCCACAAATAAATTCAAATTCTAGCGAATTGCAAGCGAATGTACGTAGTCGTTGTTTCAAGTACATTTCTTGATAAATTTGTAATATTTTCCGCCTTGTACAAAAATTTTAGTGAACGGATGTGTTGTGCGATACTATTTTCAGCACAAACGGGCTTTTACAAGATATGCATTTGCATATGTAAATGCTACTTGTTTGTATGCCCCCGTATATTAAAATGTATCAGATAAGTAGCATTTACATATGGATATACATATATTTTAAGAATGCATTAATACTGTTCCATTAATGCATGTTTGAAACATTAATACAGCCATATGCATACAGCAGTAGTACAAGTGTATGGTTAGAGTATGCATAGACAGCAGCAAGTTCATGCCACCGGCAATGTCGTATGCATAAAATTTCTACTGGGTGTGTCCAACATACATACATATGTACATATATATGTGTTTAACCATTCAACATTGTACGCTTGCAGCGGTTGCTGACAGACAGTGATTATCAACAGCATTATCATTGTGCGGACAGCTGAGCAACCAGCACTTACAACTTCCCAGTGGGAAAATGTAATGTATAGTAATCGAAAAAATAATCAGTAAAACAATCCTTTCACATTCGAAAATGCATTTTTTCCCCCAGAGCGATGTCCTAAGAAAAGTGGGACATTCACTTTTGCATTACCCAGTATCGAAAAATGAATGTGTTTTAATATGAAATGTTTGGAACATTTTGAATACATTAGAATGCTGATTACATAGTTAGCAGTAATATTATCGAGAACGCATAAGAAATACATTATATTATTTATCACGCATGTAATGCATTACTACTTTTTGACTGGGTTTTTTATGTACATTCGAAAATGCACGGCGATGTCCTAGGAAAGTGGGGCATTCAGTGTCGCCTTACCAGTAATGCCGGAATGAATGTGATTTAGTATGAATTTTTTACCACTTTTTGGATACATTACAATGCTGATTACATATTAAGCAGTAATAGAATCTAGAACTCATAAGAAATACATTACTACATTATTTATCACTCATATAATGCATTACGACTTTTCCCACTGGGTTGTTGTTGCTGCTGTGAGTCGCTGATGATACTGGCGTGATGTCTGATAAAGGAAAGCAACATAGCTGCGATAAATTCTCTCTCATATTTATTTATTTGCTATGTGATACATGGCAAAAAAACATGCGACCGCCGGCCAAAACGCACAAAATTACAGCAAACCAACGTAAAAAAAAGAATACGGGGGAAAAAGGGAACTTCGCAAAAAACTTCCGAATCATGTACAAAGCATATTCACTGTTTCGCCGCAATATATCCTGTAAAACGCACCCTCACAGCTGGCCTTGAGGTCATTTAACGACGGACAAATGTGCGATTGTTCATACACTCCAACATATATGTACATATGTACATATGTATGTATGTATGCGTGCATGACTGCGTATGTGTGTAAGTTGGTGAATGCGGAAATGCACTGTGGTCCACAGTTTTTTCTCGTTTTTTTTTTCGCTTGTACGTGGATCAGCTGAGCAGCTGGCTGGGAGTAAAAGTGAACTTTTGTTTTATTGCGGCCTGAGGTGAAATTGGGCAAAGTGAGTGCGCGGCGTGGTCAGTGTTGAGGTAACAAGGTTGAAGTTAAAAGTGTTGCCCAAAAAATCAGAACATTTCGCTGCAAAACAATGCGGCAACAAAGGACGGCAGAACAATTTTACAGAGTCTCGAATAGTGGGCAAAGCCACAGAAGAGAATAAAAATCAAGCAGTATATTCACAAATACATATGTACAACTGTTTTGCAAAATGAATTGCAAGTGGTTTTTTGTGTTTTAGTTTTATTGCTCTTTTAAATTAAGTGCAATAACAATGCGTGGCATACATATGTATGTATGTATGTATGTTTATGTAACAAAGAGTTTTAAGGCAATCTATGCTTAACTATCAATGTTTAATTATCTAAATTGATTGTAATTTTTTAATTAGATTGTAACCTTATCCAAGATTCCTTGCCACAAACTGAGATTTAAAACTGATTATTATTTGCAAATTTAAAATTTTTTGTTTCATGTATCTTTCATTTAATTAACAATGATTCATGCCAATATTTTTTTTTATTTTTTTTTATTTTAATTTTTTCCAACTCACTACAAAATGTTTTTGATCCTACTTAAAGCCTCAACCTTATAAATCTATAAAAGTCCAAAGCAACTAAGCAATAACTAGAAAAAACGCTTACCTTTCATCCTTGGCCGTTTCCGCATTTTCACGCAGGTCATACAAATCTTGCGAGAACAGCTATAATCAGGCAAATGAAGAAGTGCGCATTCACACGCAAAGCAGCCATGATGAAGCAATTGAAGTAAGTAGTTGGTAGTTGAAGTGGAGTTGCAGTTGAAAAACAAAAATGGCAGAGATGACGAATCGCAGCAAAAGTGCGACGTAAAAAAAGCATGAGAAAAAAGAAAAAACAAAAACAAAAAACGTGTCATTAGTCGCATGCAACTGGCAGGCATTAGCAGCTCATTAGTGTCGAGAGTGTAAATGCAAGCAAATTGATGTTGCGTATACGCAGTGGTGGTGCGTACAAAACAATGTGGTTTGTTTTGCTTTTCTTTGGGAACAGCTTGCAGCCAACACTTCCTGGCATGCCGTTAAAGGCTTGCCAGCTTTAATGTTAAACTGTTTTAGTTAACTCACCTCGCCATTTTCTGGTGGATCACCATTGCCAAATGTAGACGCAACTACGAACAGAAGTGATTCGTGCTCTATACTGGAGATATCATAGTCGGCCATGCAGTAAGTCTGAAAAGTAGATGAAAATAGTCATTTAGTTAGTGAGATACTAACATACATTTACATTATTAAATAGATATGTAGATTGCTAAAGCAAGCAGGGTTAAATTATTAAAGCAATTACTGAGGATGTACGGACCATTATCAATTGCTTGCCACCAGCGTGATGAACCACTCTAGCTAGTGAGAACCATTTCGTTTTCTTCTCTAAAATTTGGCAATTATCATATCAATAGAGCTCCCGAGGCTGTTAGGCAAATAGTAGGAGATAAATAATTAATAGAAGTCCTTGCTATCACGAGTAGTGTTTGAACGAAAATTAAAGTTGATTGGACGATATTAAATTTGGTGTCAAAGCGGGATCAGAACGATATGTCAAAACGTAAAACGACGAACAATTAAAACCCTGATAACACCGAAGACATTTTTAATCGAAATAAAAAATTCGCTTGAATTTTACACAACATTCATGACATTGGGCCATATGCATAAAAACTAAATAAAATTCAACTCCTTTCAACTTCTTTCTAGAGAGCGTAAATAAAAAGAGCAATATTTGAATGAAATTTTGCCGAATTTTCTTTAATTTTGCACAAGGGTTGGAACTCTGATTTTTGGGTTTTTGTTGTAGAATTGACCGTATTTTTATACAAAATTATCGAAAAATAAAATATTTAAAAAATAGTTGCCCGTATTGTAAAAAAATCGCTGTACCTAAACTTTGTTGACTGACTGTATCTCCTCGGGCTTTAAATACAATAAGTAAAAGTTCATAATCAACTTAGTATCCCACTTATCCAGCTTGCAATTGTCATGAGGATTAAGATTGGCGTTCAGAGCAACCCTGTCCGATTAATGCAAACTGAAAAATTTTTCGTTTATATAGAAGTAATTTGTACATATGTATGCATGTTCCTTGAGATTGTTAATTTGCTACTCTGAACTATTTTTGTGGAGAAGTAACTTTTAAGAGAGGATATTTATTTAGTAAAAGTTTTGGAATTCAAAGTTAAAGTTGATGACTTATTTATTTGACCTTTTGTTTCTTCATAAATATCAATGTAGCTTCGAATCTTGCCTTCCACTAGCTTAAAATGATTGTTGGTGAAATGTTCGTATTGGCTGAAAAGCAAATATTTTATGGCCTGTGGCCAAGTATAAAGACTTTACTTATGGCGTTTTCTTTTATACAAAAAAGTTTGCCATACCATTGCCCTCTTGTTTTTAGAGGACAAACAGAAGGTAACCTTTTTCGGTAGAAACTCACTCAGATTATTCACAGAGAATTTAATTTCACTGTGTATTTATCTTATACATACACTGCTGGCAAAAAGTATTGGCACAGCAAATTTTGCACAATATATGCAACAATTTCTATTCTAATATTTTTTCGCTAATTTTTTTATAAGAATATGGTTTAATTTTCAACAGAAAATATAAATATATAATTTCCAACCTTCGTGCAAAACTCGTGAAATTTCAGGAAGTTTTCATGTAAATTTTCAACTTTTTAATCAGATTTTTAGAATTTTTTTGAGCATGCAGTTTTGTTGCCCATCAAGTTCTAGTAAAAAATGTAAGTTGAGAGTTAGTTCAAAATCGCATTGATTTTTGAGTTTTTTTTGTTGAAGGTGTTTTGCATTTTTTCCAAATAAAGTATTTTCGAAATTTTTTTTTTTTATGGTAGAGACTGCGTGAAAAAATTGCAAAAATCAACCGTAATTCGTAGCTACTTAGAGCTACAAATTGCATGCTCAAAAAAATTCAAAAAAATCTGATTAAAAAGTTGAAAGTTTGCTGAATTTTCGTGAGTTTTGCACAAAGTTTAGAAATTATATTTTTATATCCTTTGTTGTAGAATGAACCACATTTGTATAAGAAATTAGCGGAAAAATATTAGAACAGAAATTGGTGCATATATTGTGCAAAATTCGCTGTGCCAATACTTTTTTCTGTGAGTGTAGTTAGCTTTCGAAACAAATAATTTTCTCTGCTTTACTAGGAAAGTAAATATTTATCAGCTTCCGAGATTTGAGATTTTTTGCTCTTTGACCTGTTAATTACACTCCATAGCCAATGAATAGTTGTGATGTGCTAATAAATAAGTGTGTGTACAAGACTACACAGGTAATCACTTTTCAAAGACAACATATCTAAGCAATTCAATCTACCTGCCATACATCCAAACGAACTTTATTTACTTATAAATGTGTCTGGTAATCTGTAAGTATTGGCAAATACTCGCTTTTAGGAATGAGTGTGCTTCTTGCTCACAGCCGCCCATATGTTTGATCACCATTCGTGTGTCAACAAATAAGCTCATCAATTATGTTGAAACCAAAAGGCGCATTCATGCCTCTGAGCGGTGTGACTTTTACTTACATACATCCACAAGTTTGCCGCTAACACAACCCCAATAACAACATACAACGTCTATATATTTACACATGTGTAAATGTACTGTAATATTTGCACTTTATTCCAACTTATCGATCAATTGGGTCTGAGCCAAATGTCTATTAAATTGGCTATTTAGACATATCGTTTAAGCTGTTTACCCTAAAATAAACAGGCAAACGACGCACCCGCCATCTCTGTCTCCGTTTCGTTACCTAAAGACATAGTTATTTACATACATATGTGCACAAATCGGCAAGTGATTTTAGTTCTCCTGCTTTTGCACACCTGAAGTGGCAATTTACGTGTTTATTGGCAATGAAGGTCTCAACGTTATTTGCACAGCAGGGCAGACAGAATAGGCTGGTTGGTAACTACATAGAGAAATAAGTTGTTAGTGTGCCAGTCGAAGGGTGATTAGTGAGTTGTCAGCGCAAAGTTGATGAGGGATGTTTTATTACTTTTACCTTTCCGTTCGCGGAGCTACATAAATACGTATGTAAATATGTACTTATGTATTTTTTTATACGTTTTTACACATATTTTGTTTTAACGGTAATTTGGTAAGGTTTAGGCATCACTTTAGGACATCAGTCGATACGTTAAGAGCATTGCATTGGGTTGAGCGGGGAGTAAGTAATTTTTGCTAATAGGCTTCAAAGACGTACATTTCTGGTAATACTTATTTATTCGCTGCTTTCATATTAAAGGGCATTTAAAAGGTGAAAGAGCGTAAAACATTTAAGGACAAAATACCGACATGAAAATGAAGCTTCCAAAAGGTTATCTTCCCGCTATTAACTTTGGTTTTGAAAAAACCTTTGCTCATTTTAGTGTCCTAAATTTTGGTGTTGGAGGTGAAATTCACCCTTGTAAATATTTGTTTGAACGATTCGATGATATTTATCATAAAAAAGAGCAAAAATAACAAACTGGCAGTAAATAACTTTTACCCAAAATCTGGGATCTTTTCCTAAGAGATATTTTTTGGACTTCTGGGTTCAGATACATTGTCAATTATGCATCAATGGTATGATGGAGCAGATTTAAATTAATAGCTTGGAAATTCTCTTTGTTTAACTTCCCAGGAATATTATTGTGTACAGTAAGGAATACGTCTTTACAACTGCTGCCATTGCTCTTGATAAACTGCCAAAACCTGCAGCTTGCAACGGTATGCCCTAAGGTAAATTACCTTTAACTCTCCTTAAGAGGTTATAAATTAATTGCGTCTTTGGTTCTAAAATGGACACTAGGCCAAAATATAGAGTTGATATCAAAGATAATGAGGATACGATTGCAAAAATACGTGAAAATGCAGGAGTTTACATGTCTGTTCACAGTCAAGCTGCACTCAAGGCATTAGTCAGCCCACTAACTACTTCCATACCAGTTCAGCGATGCAAGTCTCAACCAAAGTTTGTTGATAAACAGAGCGATCTCATCATATGGAAGACCCCACCTTGACTAGTAAAATCAGAGGGTATTCCTGGACAAGTTATAGCACTCCAATTTTAGGCCATCAAAGCCATCGTCAGAAACAGGTTGAATATTTTGTTAGCATCGATTGGAAGGCATCGAAGTGCTGCAGGTGGTCACCTAATCTCAGAAGACTTAGCTTTTGTGCGGTTGTCGGTAACTTATTCTGATATAAACATCTGATTGTAATCGGTATGCGTGACAAACTTTTCTGGACTTCCTGCTTTGATCCTGCCTTAGCAAGGATCAGGTAAGATGCTTTTGGCAGCGTTTTGTTGTGATACGCGTAGCTAAGCTCTTTTACACTCAACAATCTGGTTCGATTTATTCATAAATCATGGAAATATTAGTCAGATGAAAAGGAATAAGACTACCATTTGTTTCGGTATCTGCTTTGTTTGATAGAGGCACAAGGATCAGATTTTTACTAATTGGAAGAAACAAAGTACACCGAGTACACCGGAGATAAACCCTTCTCGAACTATTAATGGTGTTGCTGTATGCACGAGATTACTTATTGATGAAGTGTTTAATCTTCCGTAGAATTATGATATTAGTTCCTTGTTTAAGGTCGAAGGAATTCTTTATAACACAAAACTAAAAGGGTCAGGAGTGATTGCCACAAGTGGTGAAGAAGAGGAAGACTGTGCGATTTGTAATAAGATATATTTTATGATCCACTGACTGACGGATCTAAATCAGATTAGTATGGGACCACCTCTGAGACACTACCTTTCCGATTCAAAAAGAATTATCGAAATCGGTTGACGTGGTCCAAAGTTATGCGGTAACATACATAAAAAAAAATAAATAAAATGTTCCGACGAACTGATAACCTCCTCGTTTTTTAGAAGTCGGTTAAGAATATTAAATAATAATTATTTAAACTCACATGTGTATTGAAGGCATGTCCCAGCAATTCAGCCAACTGCTTGGCATACTGCTCCGATTTTCCAGTCTCAGTTGCATAGAGCACCGTAGCCTTAATACGTTTAGACAAAGCGCGCACATAGAGGATAGATGTGAAAATCACAGCTCTGTAAAAGTAAAATGGGATTTAAATATTATCAAATGTTCTTTTGTGCAATGAAAGGGAACACAATATTAAGCAAAAATTATTTACTACGGAGATCTCGTTGATTAAATATAAAAAGTATCAAGTAAGTAATTTAAAAAAAGTATTTAAAAATTTCTTGGCCGTTGGGTATAAACAATATTGTATGTATATTTTTTTAGCTCAAGGCCACATGGAAATCAAAACCAAATTTTTGATTTTGCATTCGTTTTTAATTGTCTTTACTAGTCCTTAATAAACAAAAAAAAAAGAAAAATCGACCGCGGAACACGTAACGGCAAAATTTTGCCGCCACCTAATTCATCTTTCATATTGGATCGAATTCTGGGCAAAGTTTCAAGTCTCTAGTTCATGGGAAAGTTGTTTAAAAATTAATTGCATAATTTGATTACACACAGGTGAAACTTAATAAAACCTTATAAAAAAGAAATTTATTTTTAAAAGCTGCGGATTTTTAATTCCGTTACAATATGCATCTATGTCGGTATGACGACCTCCTTTTATCTTAGTGTTTGGCCCAGCTTTTCCTGCAATTTGTGGTGAGCGCCTTGATGTTGTCACACAAAGGGGAGGGAGTTTTACGGCGACTCCGTATCAAGCTGATTAAAGCACTCAAATTCTACAACACTGCAGTTCACACATAGCGCTTTCCTTTTTGCAATTTCGTATTAATTAATTAAGTATATTACACTGAATTTATTGAATTTTTTTCTTAAGCGTTAAAAATTTAATTTTATGTTTTTCTTAATTAAAAGCCATTCATGCTTTTAAGTGTATCCTGCATGCGTATTAAATGATATTTTGATTTCATTTTATGTAAGAGATTATTGCCACATTCGTATACATTTTGGCAATAAGAATTGAAAATATAAAATTTCTGACAATTTTAAAACAGAATTACAGGAAATTGACACATTCACCTTTGCATGCAAGTATATTTACGCATATAAGTATGTGCATATAAAAGGATACTTTTAGCAAGTAATTTGTATGTAAATATGTGTATATGCAACACGCATTTCCATACACATTTCCATATCGGATGTCTGACTTCATGTGCACAGCTAAGTAATCCACTTAAGGGATAATCTGCTTGTAAATGTGGCAAACGGACAGCAAAACGAAAAAAAAAAACAAAACTCCCACTACCTACACAAATAATGTATACATATATATGTATACCTTTACAATTTGTGCTAATGTATGCATCGAAACCCATCTGCTAAAAACTAGTCGTATTTTAAAAACAAAAAATTTTTTTTTTTTTTTTTTTTTGCTTAAAACGAAGTCCAATCCAACAGAAGCTGATGTGCACTCTGCATGTCGCTTTTGACTTTTTGTTATTTTTTTTACACTTGCTTTCTTGCGTCATTTGTTCAAGTAAAGTTATTTTTCATCATGCTTATAAATACATTTCTTATCTTAAATTGCTATTTGTTTATTTTTTTTTTTTGTTTTACCTTGCAATCTGCTTAAAGTTGAATTTACGTCTTGGTTTGATTTCACCACGTTCCTTCTCCCATACGTGCACCTTCCAGGCGGGATGCTGATAATCGAATGATGGCCTCAGATAGTACAGTGCGAATTCTTGATGGTAGACAGGCGTCACTGAACCAGAAAGTGGCGGAACAATCCAAATCCAATCAGCCGGACAGCCATTGCTAAAGTATGAGAAATTACAAGAAATAAAGAAATAATTTAATTCTGATTTGTTGCTTTGTTTGTGCAAGATTATGAGTATTGATTCTATATTACTTTGATGCAAAAAGCAGAAACTAATACCCAATAGATTGATATTGAAATTAACATCTTGAAGAACTGAGTTTTCATTGCTAACAATTTGTGACAATAATAGATATTTCCATTCTCCGTTTGAGAAGTGCATATCGTTACTTTAATATAGAAAGGCCCTAACTCATATAGTCGCTGAAATATAAAAAGAGAAAGTAATAAGCAAAATCTAAAGTGCTCTAAGAGCGGTTTTAGCAAAATAGATTTTGGATTTACTTAACTTACTTTTATAATATTTAATTACTTAAAAATATCCTGGTCAGGATTTTTTCAGTCTACCCCTCGCGAAATATTTCCTAACACGTTAAATTTCATGCAAAATATATTTCATTCATAAACAGATGGGGGAAGGTCGTGCCTTCTTCGGATCTTCTAACTGGAGGTATATTAAATATGACAAAAGTAATCTTGTCTCCTTCTAATAAATGTCGTAATTTAAAAAGTTTTCTATTGAATCTAATTGGTAAATTTATTTGGATGAAACTATTTCTTTCATGGCATGACATAAAGAAAAAGTGGCATATTTTTATGAGAAGCTGTTTTCCTTCGCAGAAATAAACTCAGAGGTTTGCCATTGCCAACCGAGCGACTATCGCTATAACAAAGAATTTTTTCTTGTTTTAGATTTTGATTTTATTCGAAATCTGAGCTCAAACCCAGATATTGCGGAATGGTAGTATGCACTTATATTAACTACATCACAGAGGCCTACAAATTTCGGACAAAAGGCATTCGAACGGGCCTACGATCTACCCTCCGTCACTTAAAAGTTACATATAATTTCCTATATCTAAATCACCACACACCGCGTTTTCGATTCGTTTTCAAAATGTTTCATGAAATTCTCACTGGCCGTATGGTGATCCAAAATGGTTATATTTCGGCTTTGAAAAGAGTGCAACACAGCTAAATTCACCTCTACCAAAGCTCTGTCCTTCCACAGGGATGACGTGGTGCGAGTGTCTAATTTCATTTTATTTGCAACGGTCTTGAAACGGAAAAGAAAAAAGGAGTTGTAATATTTGTTAAAGTAATTCATGTAAAAAATTGTTTTTACAAGCTTTTTAAAAATATGTGTGGTATGTACATATATATGGTCGATCAAGAGAAAATTCAAACTTTTGATATAGTGCCGTGCGCGATATATGTATTTAGGCGTATAACTTTAAGACCACATGATTTTTTACACAAATTTTTTTTCACAGAACGCTGAAACCAAAGTATGTCAGATTTTCTGTGCAATATGTAATTTCTTTGGACTTAAAAATATACGCCTCAAAAGTGCATTGGCTAAGACAAAAGCTTTATATCCATACTACTATTTATGTATACAATCTATTTATTTTCGCTTAATTAGCTTACCGTACCTGCAACACATTTCGTCGATTTGTATCACATAAATTGCGGCAACCAATTTCGGTGGACATATACCAACCGCTGAATGCGGTTGCGGTGAACTGAATGCCACCCACATCGAACATCATCGACGAGACAGCGGGCAGAGCGTACCAGCGCAGACCGAGTTCGGCGAACCACTCATAACTGGAAAGGACAATAAATGAATAATAAAACAGTTGATAAAATAAACAAAATGTAAATCCTAAAAATATGCTACAAGTACACCAAAAACGAAGTGGGAAACGCAGTGAAATTAGACGCATGAGCTCACATTTACATGCAAATGCAAATATGTACATATATAACTGTAATGCGAATGCACATGTATAAGTGTCGGGGTTCGGTTTTGAGCTTTTCTAACAATATGGGTAGGTTTATTTCTCGATGGTAGGATGATAGGACGCCTAAAATTTTGGTAGGTTTCCATGCTCATGAAACAGAAAACCGGCTCTGTAAATTATAGCCGCCGCGTGCATTAAGGCGGCAATCAAGAAATTAAATTAGGCCGCATTTTGAAAAGTAAGATTAGGGCGCTATTGAAAAATTAAATAAGACTGCCGAAGAAATAAGAAGCTGGCCTTAATTCACGCTTTCTGGATTCCATCGACCCAGAAAGCCTCTCTGGTTTGTTTTAAAGTGTGCCAGCATGGCCAGTAGATACTTTCGAAGACTATTTTTATTTTCGGTCAAATCATAAAAAAAATATAAATTGATCTGTTTTGCTTACCTGGCAGGCATGAAGCCATTTTGGTAGGTTTTTGAAACAGCTTTTGGTAGGAAAAAAAGCTTTCAATGTCAGTTCAGTTTAACCCGCACTACAGCGGATAATTCAGTGAAGCAACTCCTGAACATTTGATGTCATCAAAGGGACACCATAAAATATATATATCTACATATGTATGTATATTCATTCACCACATGCACCACAGGCCCGCATGCCAAGTATGCCATGCTGGTATGTGGCAAAGTATGGCAAACAAAGTGTGTAAAAATTCGGTTGTAAACTATTTCATGGACTGCTGGCATTTTACGAGTACAATGTGCGTATGTAAACCGTAAAGAAATATATACACCAACACTGACATTAATGATATGAAACATGCTGATGCATTTGCTGCATTTTTTCAGTTTTTCGGAAGCCATTTTTGTTTTGTTTAATTGCCACTTTGCTGCGGTTTTTATAGTTGTAAATCGAATATACTTGTTGGACTTCCTTTTTATATCGACATATTTATGTATGTATGTATGTATATGCACACATGAATATGTATGGTAAACGGTTTGGAACGACATACATACATATGTATGAATGCTATATAGTGCTTATGCTAACTATACGACACCCAAAAATTGACAAGTTTTCAATACTTATTTTTTATTACATATAAATGTATATGTTTTTATAAAACTATAGTTCATTATTTAACAAAAGCCATAGAAATCCATTTTCCAAACTCTACAAAAAAAATAAAAAGTTTCATCAATATTTAACCCTTTTTAACTATTTTTGGGTATGAAGTTTTATAGTCCATTGAATTTTGGTATAAACCGGCAACAAAAGCAAATTGCCGAGAATGCACAATATTTTGTAGACACTTAAACTCTATAACGACAGAACTGAATGGGCTATAAAATTGCATAATTAAATTTGAATAAAAATTGTATATAATATTGATGTAACTTTGTTGATCTTTTTTAATTTTTGTACAAATTTTGAAACTTGCATCTGTATGATTTTTGTAAAAGAATGAACTATATTTTTATAAAACGCAATTGAAGTTAAATAATAAATAAATAGTAAAAACTTGTAAATATGTGGGTGTCGTATAGTTTTGATAAACACCGTAAATACATACCGGCATACGCGCATAACCATGTACTGCAATCTACTATTTGTTCTTTAATTACTTTCAATGCAATGCTCAAATCGGTAATTTTTTTTTTTTTTTTAAGAAAAAAATATGTTGATGTCAGGTATTTTTTTAATTCTTTTTTGTTATTAGAAAATAAAAACTTTACTCACTTTGGATGTGAAAAGGGCACCTCCAATACCAAATCGGGTGGGTATTCGAATAATTCAGGATCTTCACCGTTGGCCGAGACTATCAGTGGAAGAATGTCCCACTCTGTGCCTTTGCTCTTCCAACCCAATTTCAGGCAAACCTACAATTAAAGTAAATAACAATGTAATAATAAAAAACTTTTGTTACAAAAAAAAAATTAATTAAGTTTTTAAAAATATTGCGAAAGAAGTGGTATCAATATTTTTATTCCACTGAAATGCGTTCACTTGAGGTTTTGACATTTGTTCAAATATTCGTATTATCACTTTATTATTCTAAAGTATTATGCATTTCAGCTTTCGTTAAATTGTTTATAACCTTAAAAATATATGTTGCACAAACAATAAATAAGTTGCGCTCTTTGATTATTAACGATCAGTTATGTATATCTATGTATATGCATTTGTATGTACCCAAAAAAAAAAATTCTGAAACTCTCACCTCTGTAAATTCAACATTTATAGGATCGCCAACAATTGTGCCATCACTATGCTTATAACCAGCGTATGAAATCAATTGGCTGTTCCAGATGCGATAATCATGAAGACCATCGGTGCGTTGAGGGAAAATTGTAATAGCCGAACTGGAAGAAAATGAATGCAATAAAATAAAATAAAAATGGTTACATAAGACATCTGCAGAATATTTTTATTTACATTCTTTGTAATAAAAAAAATTTCAAAACCCCCTGAAGGACGCTCAGGAAAATTTTAACGTTGTATGAAGAAATAGTTTCTAAACTTTTGTAGCCTTACGCGAACGTCAATGAGGAGGACGGGGGCGGTAAATAAAGGCGCACTGCTGAGAGATGTTCTATCCTTATTGATATTGGCACTTCTTATCAACAAAATGAGGCTCCTAGATTTACAGCTTATGATGATTTAGCCTATACCATCTGTGGTTGTTGTCTAAGCTTTACGAGTGAAACACTTTGAAAGCTACACACAGCTAATGAAGAGAGGTGGAACTTGGAGTAAATGCAGAAGGTTGGACTTGGCGCTTTTTACAAGAAAGTATATCTGAGAGTCCATTTCAAGAAGTCCGTACCGCGCTGACGCACGGTCATGGCAATCGAGGAGTTTTCCATATTTCGCTTTCATCGTATCCACATTTTCGTATTTTTATTCAGAAGCAAGAAAATCGACCGCTTAGACGTCAACAAAAAATACGCCAGTAACACCACAAACAAAAGGCACTTCAAGACTTTTTAAGAGAGAATGTGTGGTCTCCACCCAAGCTGTGAAATATTAGGCTAACTCTTCAATCATTTACCACACATCCAGGAATTAAAATGGGCGCTAAATTGACATGGAGGTTGAATTTAAAGAACGGGTAAAGAAGGTCAAGAGGGCATCCAATGGCTTAAAAAGCTCTATCCCTTCGGCTAAGGTAACTATAAGATCTAGACAGCAGTCATCGGACCAAAAGGGCTCTAC